CCCAATAAGTCAGAAATTTGAGCAGAAGTAGAACCTTTCTCAGTCTCCTCCTCTGTGTTCACTGAAGATGTTTGGAAATCACCCCTATCTCCATATGCTTCTAGGACTCTGGTCTCTCCTGGCAAGCCCTGGTCATCTGTGGGAACTTTAGGAAGAAGGTGCCCTTTTGCTGGCCCTGGGATTTGCTCTACTGAACAGATAGATTCACCACAGAGTGGCAACTCAGATTCTCCTACCACATGCCCTTCATCTACCCCTGCTTCATTTTTCATGGGAACAGCAAACTCACTTTGATTCTTAAGACAGCGATCTTCCTGACTATTCACTGTTTCTATGGCTGCTGTAAAAGGCAGGGCAATTCCTTCTGTGCTGGCAGATGGCACAACAGCAGAGGGAGTCTTGGGTCTTTCTGGCCCTGGGACCCCATCTTTGTTGCAGTTATTTTCCACTAATAATTTAGAAAGCTGAGCTGGTGCTCTCTCTTCCCCATTTTTTGCCAAGGTGTCTGGTAAGGAATCATTTTTCTTTACTACTTGAGGAGGAGTAGTGGGCATTTTTTCACAGGCTGCTGATTCTACAGCCTCTATAGGAGCTGACTTATTCATGAGCCCTGACAGTGTTCTGGGACAGGTAAATGTAATATTTCTATTTTCGTCCACATAGCCCATTCCTTCAATTCTGTGGTCCCCTGTGGTTTCCACGGGAACATGTATTTTTGTTGCATCTAACTTATTCTCCAGAATGTGCTTCTTGGGAAAACTATTTTTAACTTTTTTGCTTTTTTCATCACTACTCCTTTTATTTGGTTTGTCAGCCACTGCTGTGTGTCCCTTGGTTGCATCTGTCTTGTTCTCTTCAGATGCTATTGAGGGAGCAAATCCTGTCTCCTGAATTTGGTCTTGGCAGCTCATATCTGTCACCTTGGCAGCTGGTTCAATAATAGCAGAATCCTTGGCTGTATTTGTTTTGTTGCCCTTAGGGGCCTCAAGCTCAGCAGAATTAACCTCAACATTTTTACCTTTTTTGTCAAGTGCTTCCACTGTGTGTGTACCTGATACATGAAAGAATAAAGAATCAAGTATTTGGGGGGAAGTGTGTCCTAATTCCCTGTTTTTATAGGGAATGCTATCAGATACTTCTCCATCCTTCCCTACAAAAGGTGGATTAGGAATTTCCTCCTTATCATCCATTCTAGTAGGTTCTATGGGATAATTAATTTTAGACTTTTTGTTTCTGCCTTCATTACTTCTCTTTTTAGTCGTTTCAGAAAACCAAGGAGTTGACTCATGACCCATCCAAGGACAACTTCCTTCCTTGCTCTGGTTACTGACACGTGTATTTTTTACTAAGGCTCCTCTTTCTGACCTAACATCAGAAGTCCGAGTCAAGGTTGATCTATTTTCCAAAGGAATCCATGCCTGTAAAGTGCTTTCCACACTAGGATCTATTATCTCCTTAGGCTCCCCCATCACTACTGCCTCAGTGAAATCAATCATGGTTCCTGGTTGCTTTGAAGAATCTAATCCCAGCTCATCTCTCTTATCCTCAGTAGTCACTCTTTCGGTTTTAAGAATTGGTTCACTTAACCCAAGAACAGCCCTTCCATCATTCTCACTGTCCAGAACATATAGCAGGTCAGATTTAATTCTTGGCTTCCCAGAATTCATTCTCACTTTCCCAGAACTTCCCCTTCCCTTCCTGTTTTTGCCATCACCTGTCATTCTCTTAAACGGCTCATTCCCTAGCCCAGGAGCCTGAACTGACACTTGGCCTTGCAGCTGCTCAGAAGCCAAGATGTTGATTTCCTCTCTTTGCTTGGGAAATGCTTCCCTTTCTAGTTCCTTAACTTCTACAGATCCTTTAAGAAACACTTTCTGGTTGACATTCTGTAGTTTAGACATTTTACTGTCATCATTCTCTTCTTTGAGACTATCTTCTAATGGATTACTTGCTATCAAAGTTGGTATCAAATTAGGCAATTCTTTTGCTCCTATAGGTTTTGAAACTCCACCCACAACCTCTTGGTTCAAGATAGGAGAGCGAGCCTCTTTGGATCTGATCTCCAAAAGAGTTTCAGCTTTATGTTCAGAAATTTCTGTCAGGGATCCTGTCAAGTTAGGAAGGCCCACTATCTGGCCTTTATCCACAGGGGTCTTCAGGAGGGGTGCAGGTTGTGATTTGTATTCATCCAGCTGCAACAATTTCTTATCTTGGTTATGTGGCACTGATTTGTTTCCTCTGCCACGTTCCTCTACTCTCAGCTTGGACTGAGAATTTTCTGCAGTTTTTGGAGATTCTTCTGGACACAAAGTAACTCTGAGATTCTCTGAGATAAAGTTCTCACCTTCTAGTTTGGCTGCTCTAGAGTCACCTCCATCTCCTTTTTTCAACTTCTCTCTGGATACAAGTCCATATTCCATGTTCACAGCAGTGGACTGACTAGGGAGGACACCTGATTTATGGGTATAACTGTTATGCCCTTCTGCACTGTCATCATTCCAAGATCCCCCAGCCCGGGGTTGAGAATATCTCTTTTGCTTTGGTTTCTTCTTCTTTTTCTTCATCACCATTGGCATGCTTTCTATATCCCAGGCCTCCCTGCCGAGATCCCTCTGGGGTTCAAGGAAGTCAGCATGAATACTTTTCCTTTGGTTCCCAGGATAACCACAGGAAGGTGAACCAGAGACCCAACCCGACTCACACAAAGGGAAAGGGCCTAGCCTGGGATCAAGAGTCTTCTGTGGAGTCAAGACTTTCAGCAGCTCAGGAGGGGCCCTGGTAGGCTTGAGCTGGGCTGACCTGCAGTCACTGGATCTGCAACCTTGTGTGCCTTGTGTGAGAGGGGCACCTGCAATACATGAAGTTGGCTAAAATTCTAAATAACAAGCTTCTTATTCTTTCTTAAAAACAAAAAACAATAGTTCATTTAGTGACTCATTTAAGCAGTCTGTTTCCACCAATCCATATACTAATTTCTTTAGGAAAACCATTTATTCCCAAACATTTCTTATTCTTAATTGGGATGACCATTTCAGGTAAGAATTTTTTTCAAACACATTTACAAAATATTTCAAACTTTTCTTTTTTCTTTTTTGGTACCAGGGATTGAACTCAGGGACACTCGACCACTGAGCCACATCCCCAGCCCTATTTTATATTTTATTTAGAGACACAGTCTCACTGAGTTGCTAAGCGCTTCACCTTTGCTGAGGCTGGCTTTGAACTCGAGATCCTCCTAACTCAGCCTCCCCCGCCACTAGAATTATAGGTGTGCATCACTGCGCCCAGCAAAATATTTCAAACTTTCTAACCTCTGTAATAAACTCACTCACTACTTATAAATCTCATCTGATTTATTTCTCCTTGTAATTATTAATAGGTACACAAATCTCAATTCTAAACAAGAAATTGTACTTATTTCTTTTTTGGTGATGTTTATTAATTGAATGAATACTTATTCATGATTTGGGACAGAATTTATAATTCTAAGAGTCTGTCACCAATATTATACTGATCTGTATCCAATGAACTAGACTGATTCTGGGAAACAGACCCAGAAGTCCAGATTTATGCTGTTTAAAATTTAAAAAAAAGACTAAATAGTATTTTGGCCAGAGAAAAATTCTTATCATTCCAGAACATCCTACTTTGAAAGACAAATGTGTTAGATTTCAATGTTCTGTTCTTAAATGTACTTCCCAAAAGACAAAGAAATATGCATAATGATAGTAAGCTGACAAGAATTTCAACAGTTAGGACAAGCACCCTTGGAAAAGTTTCATGAAGTAACACAATTTTGGATCCAAATTCCTGGAAAGAAAATCACTAAAGGCAGTCTTCAATGATTCCTGTCAAGTATGACCCAATAAAATGATTTCAAAATACTTAACTAGCACCTTTTGTTTTTGTCCTCATCCCTCCAATGTCCTCTAAATCCTTAATATCTCAGGTTAATTTTAGGTTTTGTCAAAAAATTGTGAGCCATAGCACCTCACAGTATTTATTACACTTAATTTAGGAATTAATCAGCAGCAACTTGATGCCATCACTTATACTATTTTCTTCAATTATTATGTAAGTCTTTGTTTTAGAGTTCATGCCTGGGAACTTCTCTTTCTATTCAGGTAACAATATAATAATAACTCTAGGTGCTTCAATTATTTGGAAAACAGGAAGATCAGCGAGAACGAGGATGGATATCTATGTGCCTTAGGATGGTCTATCCTGTATACAATTAGCACTTACTTAAATCTTTACTGACATTCTCAGTCAGTAAAATAACATTTAAAATTCATTTATTTAGCTCCTACTTGCTGCTAGACAGTGTGTAAACTCTAGGGACTCTAAATGAATTAAGTCCGAGCACTGCCCTCAAGGAGCTCACATTCCCATCATAGCAACAGAAAAGTATACAGAGAATCATCAAGTTGACAATCATATGCACGTGTTCCTGGCTTATCAACAAAAACATGTAATCTTAGAAATCACTGACTGAGCAAACTTAAAAGTTTTACAGTATCTTAGAGCAGTATCCCTCAAAGTTTAATACATGTGAAAATTACTTGGGGTTGCTGTTAAAATTCAGATTATAATTCTATAGGTCTGAGAAAGAGTCCAAGATTCCACATTTCTAAGATGTTCAGTCACAGTGCAAATGCTGTTGAGCCATGGAACACACTGTAACTAGCAAGACTTTAAAGAACTTAATAGTTGAACAAACAGATATAGGCAAATAACATACCTAAAACTACTAAGGAGAGTCAACAGATGAAATAGACCAAAATTTAGTGTCCTGAGTTGATATAGTGGTGATTTTAAATATTTAACAAGTTGACCTTCTGCCTAAACAAAATGAAATCCATTGAAGAAAGGAAACTGACCTCATAAACTATACTGCTAATAACAACACAACCAGGAAAGCAGGGACAATGTCTACCAACATCACTTCAATCACTCCTAGTGTAAGCTGTTTGAGAGTCCATTTGGTTTTCTTCACTTACCTGAGGTCTCTGAAGAAAGTTCAGAAGGCTGACTGCTGAATGGTTTCTTCTGTTCTAATTTCTCTAACACAGAATCTGGCAAGTTGTCCTTTTGGCCCGTGGCTGTGACTGGTTCTAAAGGTAATAGTACAGATCACATGTGGGTAAGAGAGTAACTATTTCAGATATTTTTCCACCCATGAGAAATTAAAGGTGGCAATCATTTTTGAGGAATTCTCCTACAATAGGCAGCAGAGATGAAGAGCAGGTTAAGAAGTAGTCAGGAGAGTTTCTGTTTCTATCTTTCAAGATGGGAAAAATGACAAACTCTTTTAAGTTGGGAATAATTCAGTGAAATGGCAGAAAACAAACTAATGGCTGGGGCAATATACTTGACTTGAAAAGGAGAAATAGGACCTATTACAAAATGAGAGGAGAGGTTGGCCTTAATTAGGAGCAGGAATAGTTATAAAAATAGGAGAGGGGGTTGGTGTTGTGGCTCAGTGGTACAGTACTTGCCTCTCATGTGCAAGGCCCTGGGTTCGCTCTTCAGCGCCACATAAAAATAAATAAATAAAATAAAGGTATTGTATCCACCTACAACTAAAAAATAAATATTTAAAAAAAAAAAAAAACAGGGACTGGAATTGTGGCTCAGTGGTAGAGCATTTGCCTGGCATGAGTGAGGCACTGGGTTCGATTCTCAGCACTACATATAAATAAAGGTCCATGAACAACTTAAATATATGTATATATATATGAAATTAAAAAAAAAACAGGAGAGAAGTCAGAGTCTATGGATACAGATACAAACTGTGTAGATGAGCTAACAGACGATTGTGGTTGTTTTATTTCATTGCAATTATCTGGAAAATAGGAAGATCAGCAGATTGATAAGGTATTGGAGGTTGGAGGAGGGTAAAGGTAAGAAAGAGCTGTCTAGGAGAGTAGGAATATGAATAGATTTGCAAAGCACAGTGAGACTATTTATTTTAACTGGCATGATGCCTGTCCCTTAGTCTTCTGGAAGGTAATAGTAAAGATCACATGTGGGTAAGAGAGTATTTTTCTGTGGATGATATAGTGTCCACTTGAAACTATACCCTGGTAAACAGAAATACTGAGAGGAAACAAAGCTCATACCTGGTGAAATCATGAAAGTAGGTGCAGCTAACTGCCCCTCTTTTTGGAGAGACTGTATCTGGGAATTTTCACTTATTCCTTCCTGAGTCTGGGCAATTTCCATGTCTTTAACTAGAACTGATGCCACCTCTGTTCCTGAGGGTGGTGCAACATCCTTGGCTGGAGTCACACTGTTGGCCAGGGTCATCTCTGTTCCAGGGGACAGAGCCACATCCTTAGCCAGGGCCACATCTGCTTCTGGAGGCAGCAGCATATCCTTGATCAAAGTTACTTCTTTTTCTGGGAGTGGAGTTATATCCTTGACCTGAGCCACCTCTACTTCTGGAGACACAGCCACATCCTTACCCAGGGCCAACTTTGTTTCAGAGGGTGTACCCATATTCTTGACCAGGGTTACTTCTGTTTCTGGGAGTGGAGCCACATCCTTGACAAGGCCCACCTTTGATTCTGGGGACAGAGCCACTTCCTTACCCATGGTCACTTCTGTTACTGGAGGTGGAGTAATGTCCTTGTCTGAGGGCCCTTCTGTTTCTACTGCATCCTTCGTGAAGACTACTGTTGCTTCTGAAGGCAGTGTCATGTCCCTTGGCACAGCCACCTCTTTTTCTGATAACAAGACCATCTCCTCAGCTGAGGATTTTTCTGTGGATGATATAGTGTCCACAGCTAGTGCCACCTCCATTTCTGAAAATGATACCATACCCTTGCCTGAGATTGACTCTGTTTCTTTGGGTGATGCCATGCCCTCATGTGAAAACAAATCCATTTTTACAGGTGGTACTCTCTCTGTTTCTTCAAATAGTGTCACATCCTTGCCTGCAGCCACCTCTATTTCTGTGGGCAGCACCATATCTTTAGTCAAAGACACATCTGTTTTTGCGGGTGATATGACATCCTTAACTGGGACCACTTCTTTTTCTATAGGTAGGACCATGTCCTTGACCAGAGACATATCTGATTCAATGGATGACTGCAAGTCCTTGGGCAGTGTCACATCTGATTTGGTGGGTTGTTCCATATCTTTAGTCAATTCCACCTTTGTTTCTGTGTCGGGTGCCATTTCCTTGACCAGGGCTACCACTTTTTCTCCAGACGGTGCCATTTCTGTAGTCTTCTGTCCTATTATTATTTCCAATGCTTTAGTTGGTGGCTGTTCTTCTACTGATGCCATTTCTCCTTCCTTGGGTAACTCTAAGGGAAATAAGTTAAAAATTTGGGACCCATCATTTTCTACTCATACCTCTGCACTTAAAACTCATAGGGCACAAGAGTATTTGGCTATTGTGACCTTAAGACCTTAAACATAATTAAGAAGGTGTTGAGGGGCTGGAGTTGTGGCTCAGAGGTACAGCACTTGCCTAGCATGCGTGAGGCCCTGGGTTTCATCCTCAACACCACATAAAATAAAATAAAGATATTTTGTTCGTGTATTACTAAAAAATAAATATTAAAAAAAAAGAAGCTGTTGATTTAGTGCATGCTGCCTACTCCTTGATAATCCCATCATTTAGAAGGATAAGACATGTGAAACTGAGAAGACAAATTGTGGAGGAGAAAAGGAAAACTATAGGCTTGAAAACACAGGTATGTATTAGTATTAGGAAGGGAACCTATGGAACTGCTGGTCAGTTATCTTTCCTATTAAGAAAAGAAGCCCAGAACTCTAGGCTTAGTGGTTAAGTGAACCTGGGTTCAATTCCCAGAACCAAAGAGAAGGGATTTCCTCTTAAGATTGTATTTTAATTATAATTTAACTCTCCCAGCTCTGATATCTTTAATACAAGCTTAAAAACATTTGTGATAATTCTGAAAATTTTATGTGTCTCTTGTAAGCTGCTAAAAATATGCCCAATGATTTATATCAATTATCAATATTTCAATTACTAACTGATAAAGCAGATTTTAAGTAATTCACCTGTCATCTGTGGAAGATTTGCAGTGGCCTCTAGAGAAACAAAGGACTCCGAGTATGGAGGGTTTGGGGCTTCCATAGACCACCCCTGAGGTACAACAGTTGCAGGAGCAAATGTGTCGCAGGGAGGCATACCTAATATCAAAACACAAAACACATTTTGAAATTTGGTTGACAAAGAAGGAAAAAAAGGCATTTGGTATTTTAAATCAACTGTATATATTGCCAAGAAGACATAGGTCTAAGGAACAGTAAAAAACAAAGTACAAAAGTTTTAAATGAAACACTCCTAACAATCTTCAGGTTTTGTGTAATTATTAACAGGCAGCATCACTATATCCCAGGAAGACCATCAATCAATATATATTGCCTACTTTTACAGGATATTACAGAGATTCAAAATATCAAAGATTGAGCTCTAGTAACACCACAATCAAAATAATAGTGTACAGTAAAGAAAGGTGAGCCTTAATTCATCAGTAAAATGAGATTTAACACCTGCCTATATGAAAATATTTTGTTAATTATTAACAACTAGCTGGATGCGGTGGTACTTATCTATAATCTCAGTGACTCAGGAGATTGAGGCAGGAGGATTGCAAACACCAGGCCAACCTCAACAATTTAGCAAGACTGTCTCAAAATAAAAGGAGCTGGGGATGTAGCTTAGAGGTAAAGCATCCCTGGGTTTGGTCTCCAGGACAACCCTCAGAAACAAACAAACAAACACACACACACACACACACACACACACAAACTAGGCAAATGACAAATATAAGTGGATTATTGTAATGCTTATCCTATGCCAGTCTCAACAGATTTAATATCAGTCCCTGCTGAAATCATTATATGTTTTTGTGTTTGTTTATTTTCAGGAGGTAGGGTCTCGCTATGTTGCTCAGACTTGCCTCAAATTCTTGGCCTCCTGTCTTAGCTTCCTGAGTAGCCAGGATTATAGGCATATGCCACAACATCTGAGAAGATTAATACAATTTAGATACAGAGACAAGTAGACAAATAGCAAACAACGCATACTGTACATTATGAACTAAGTGATATAGGAGTGCAGAAAGAACCATGAGGCCCAGACTATCACAAAAGGCTTCAGAAGAGAAGCAAGAGCAGAAATAGAGGGTGGTCAATTTCAAAGACAGAGGACACTCTGAGCAAAGAAAGCATAAAGATGCAAACAGGAGGAGATGAGGATATTACTATTTATGATAACTAAGATTATTTAATGATTACTCTACCAGACACAATGCTAAGTGTTTCACACAATTTTATTTAATTGTCATCACTTCTCTAATGTAAAAACTAGTGCTGGCTCTGTTTTGTAGATTAAAAAAAAAGAGTTTAGGGAGGAAGTAATTTGCTCAAGGTCATGGGTCATGAGTGAATAAAATGTGGATGCAGAATTTGGCCCTAAGTTAGAGGTCTTATGAGAGGATGTCCATAGTCTCTGAACAGCTTGACTGTGAATTCTCCTCTTTAATCTGGAATAAGCCTGGTCACAGTCAGAGGCCCTACATCTGATTCTGCCTATTAGTTAACATGAAAGATGATGGGTGAAAGCTCATATTAATTGAAGCTAAGGGACTATAGGAGACCAGAATATGCACCCAAATAGGCATAAGATTACATTGAATGCAAGTCAACTGAGAAGTAGATACGAAAAACAAAACAAAACAAATAGGGGCTGGGGATGTGGCTCAAGCAGTAGCGCGCTCGCCTGGCATGCGTGCGGCCTGGGTTCGATCCTCAGCACCACATACAAACAAAGATGTTTTGTCCGCCGAAAACTAAATATTAAAAAATTCTGTCTCTCTCTCTCTCTTAAAAAAAAAAAAAAAAAAAAAACAAATAGCAACAACACAAAATCCAATCAATTCTTAGCTTTCCTCCTATTTGCCTAAAAGCAGGACAAATACTTTCAAAAGTGTTCCTCCACCCTCTGCATCTTAAAGTACAAAGGTTGATTACTGAAGACAACTGTATGCTCTTATCAGCCTGGAGATGTCACCACAGGAATCTACATAACAAGTTTTACTCACTAGCCTTTACCACCTACTTGCACCCTCACAGTTTGCCACTAAAGACCCTGAAAAGTCCTTTTCCTTTATCTTTCTAATTCTCAAAAAAAGTATGACTTTTTATCAAAGAAGCTATATAACTGAGTTCTAAAGCCACTTCTTTGAGATTAGTCATTCCCCAAATACCTTCCTTGTGTATATGAAATATACATGTAATCTTCACTTTCTTTTTCTCTTTTGCTATATGTGCCCTAAGCAATAAATCTAAGAAGGAAAATTAATTTTTCTTCCCTACAGAATAATTCCAGCTAGAGAAGCCATACCGTAACTGTCTTCCAAAGGATTATTATGCCCTGTAAATGTCAAATCATTTGTTGTTCCACTGGAGAGAAAGAGCAAATCTGCTAGTCCGTCATCATGGTGCATCTTAAAGGGATCTAGAATAAAGAAGTAATCCAAAACTCAGTCCCAGTGAATGCAATTAGAAAGGTAAAAACATTTCTTATGACAAATATTGATTAGTTACATGTGTGTTGTCCAGTAGTAAAATAAGTTGAGATAACATGTGACTACACATGTAGGCAATCAATAAATACTCACTAATTCATTTGTTTCAAGTTAATAATATATAATCCCTTATTCCCGTAAGGTTTGATTATCTAAATCACAGAGCCAACAAATGTATAAAACTGAGAGAACACTTAATGCTCAACTCTAACATTCTAAGAGGCAAAAATAAAGAAAATGGAATTTTCAATATATAAATTAGAGATTTTGTTACTAAATAAATCAGCTAGAATGTTTTCAGAACAAGTTTAAAAAGGGAAATTTTCACCTCATGTGGACATTGTGAAGAAAACTGCATTTCAAAAGCTCTCTGAATGGAGTTTGTCCTGAGAGAATGAATAAACTCTAGATTCAGGAGTTGGCATGAGTGAAGATACTCAAAAACATCAGTAAACTCTTTGTGCTTTCTTACATGAAAAACATAAAAAAGCAAAGCTGGTCAGGCAAATAATGAATTATGATTTCTAAGGAGGCCTTCTCAAATTCTGTTTCCATGTTAAGGATTTGACCCAGGTCTTGAGAGCCTGCATGTCTAACTATTTCCTCTGATGAAGCTAATGCATGATTCCCTAACACACTGTCAACATCAGAGGCAAGTATGTAAAAACCCAGGTCTTGGGAAAATGTTCATTTCCTTGGCTCTGAGACAGCTAGACCACCCCTCTTTTTATAAAGGGTTTCAGGATTAGAGGAGACAGATACTGCATTGCAAAGTGTATTTTGAATAATTAGAAGGCATAATTGAGAAAGCTGGGGTCAGGGGTGGAAGAAGCCTTGAGGCTGCCTTTCAAATAAACAGGGAAGGATGTAAAGGCAATCTGGCTGTAACATCTGTTATGCAAGGTCAGAGACAGGATCATTTAGCAAAAGGATATATTTTTGTTCAAGTCAAGCTTGAAAAATACTTAAACTAAATTTGAGAACTGAGTGGTTGGAGAAGGGCACACCTTTTCTCTATATTCCCTCTCATCCAATCTCACAGTCTAAAATTTCATTAATAAGCAGATGACACTCAAATTTTTATCACTAGCCCTCTAGAGCTATCCCCTTATTTCCAGCCTTTAAAATAAAATGGCCTCTATGTATATGTGCCCATGTGTGTGCAATCACATGCTAAGAATGGATGGAAACCCAGAGCCTCATGTGTGCAAAGCACATAATCTACAACTGAGGTAGAGTGGTAAAGTATTCAAAGTATTTAATATATTCCAGCACCCCACCTCTTAATTTAATAAATCCCAAATGCAACATGTTTCTCAAACCTATTCTCCATAAGACAGAACAGAAATTAAAGAGATAGGAATGAGACAAAAGGAAGAACAGGGAAAAGACAACTTTATGTGAAAACCTTGTGCTAAAGTTCCTCAGACCTTCATTCCCCAAGCAGTTCTCTCTTTCCAGGCCTATCACTCCAAGATTTCTGAGAATTCTATAAATGTTCACTCACAATTACTAGAAATTCAACCACTTGTGAAAACTGCCCCATGTTCACTAATTAGCCCACTAATACATGTATTTTTTAGAATATATTGCACAAAGGAAGATACAAAACAGTATAGGGTACTTTCCCAACACTACCTTTTGATCAGATAATGAAAAAGATATCAACCTAAGAATCCTGAATTTGCCAGATCACCATGACCATCTTGAGCTCACCAGATTGATGTTATCCTCACATATAGATGACACTTATGCCCACCCCTTACCCAGTTTCCTTTAAAAGAATGTGAGATTCCCCAAGTGTCTCTCATTAGTGAGGTGGCCCATGTTCTCCCTTGAATGTGTACTCTCCTTACTTTTCTAAATAAATCTCGGTGCCTCAATATCTGATGGATTGAGAAATTCTTTTCTATGCCATTTGTCCATGTCCAACTTTGGACCATGTTGACCTAAGTTGAAGTCCCCTTCTCTGGGACCCTCTTGGACCCCACATTCTGGTATAACACAAAATCTTACCATATGAAATGGCATTCTATCCTTCTCTTGTTGGTAAACAGTTTTGACCTTATCCTTGAAGTTATCCTTGACCTCTGAATTTCACACATTTGATTCATTAGAAAACTGGCAGAATTGACTTTGAAACTGTCCCCCAGAATCTATTTCTTCTGGGTCTCTACTGACTAGGAAGTCTCAACAAGTTTGCAGTCAAGGCACTGGCCATGGCTGTGCTCATCTGAAGAGTTGCCTGGCAAGATCTGCCTGCCATCAAGATGGCTTATTTACACGGCCATGGGCTGAAAGTATCAGTTCCTCTTCCATGTATACTTCTCCTTATCAAATGGCTTTCCCCATGGTGAATAAATTTAGGAGTGACAAAAATGGAAACTGCAATGTCTTCTGTGATCTATCAATCACACACACCAAGCCTAGTTTAATGTGGAGACGGCTATATAAGGTTGTGAATACCAGGAGGCAGGGACCATTGGGAGCCATCTTGATGGCTGGGCACCACACTTGACTTTCAGGAAATTAAATTCTACTGTGTTATCTCCCACTTAGAACTGGGAATCACCCTTGCTGGCTCCTATTCTTCCTGGCTGGAATTAGTAATTAAAAAGTACTCACAAAGACGGCCTGGCCAAAATGGTTTTACCAATGACTTCTATCATAAATTCAAACAACTAAAACCAATTATTCACAATATCTTCCAAAAAATATAAGAGGAGAAAGCACTTTCCGACTCATTCTGAGAACAGTATTACCTACACAAAACTAGACAAAGACATCACAAGAAAACTACACACTATGTCTTTGAATATGGCTTCAAAAATCCTCAAGGGTTTATATATGGAACCCATTTTTAAAAATTCTACAACATGACCAAGAGGTATATATCTCAGAAGTACAATAATGGTTTACTATCCAAAATCAAAATGTATCATCAGAATAAAAAATAAAAACATGATCACCTTACCAGATGCAGAAAATCTATTTGACAAAATCAATACCCTCTCATGATAAAACACTCAATAAAGTTGGGTATGGTGGTACACACCTATAATCCCAGCAACTTGGAAAGCTAAGACAGGAAGATTGCAAGTTTGAGGCCAACCTCAGCAACTCAGCAAGGCCCTCAGCAACTTAGCAAGATCCTGTCTCAAAATAAAAATAAAAATATTTAAAACACAAAAGGGGACCGCGCCCAGTGGTGCATGCCTGTAGAACCAGTGGCTTGAGAGACTGAGACAGGAGGATTGCAAGTTCAAAGCTAGCCTCAGCAACATTGAGGTGCTAGGCAACTCAGACCCTGTCTCTAGATAAAATATAAAATATAAAATAGGGCTCAGTGGTCAAGTGTTCCTGAGTTCAGCCCCCACCCCCCCCAAAAAAAAAAACAATAATAGGGAAGGAAAGAAGGAAATTTTCTTAACCTGATCAAGGGTACCTACAAAACACACACAGATTGGAGACTGGATGCTATGTCTCTATACTGTGGCTCTTCCTACAATCACATATCCATGATAATTTATAAATTAGGCACAATAGAGACTGACAATAATAAGTTATGGGATGGAACAATCATAATAATATAGTATAATAAAAATGTTAAAATGTGTGAATTACTTATTTTTGAAATGTTCCATTTGATATTTTCAGACTGCAGTTGACTGCAGGTAGCTAAAACTGTAGGTAAGCAGGGGCTACTCTAGTTCTGTAAATGACATGGTTTTGCCTTTAAAAAATGCTAAGGAATTCCTGAAAAACTATTAGACCTGATAAATGAGTTCAGCAAGATTGAAAGATATAAGAACAACAAACAAAAAATCAATTATATTTCTACACCCTTGCAATGAAGAATCTGAAAATGAAATTAAGGAAACAAATCCACTCACAGCATCGGACAGAATGAAATACCAAGAATAAATTTAACCAATCTCATACACTCAAAACTACAAAATACTGTAATGTAAATGAAAAATAAACAAATGGAAAAACTTTAAATGCTCGTGAATAGAAGACTTAATATTGTCAAGAGGGCAATACTCCCTAATTAATCCACAGATTCAGCACATTTTCTCTTAGAATTCCAGCCAATTTCTTTGTAGAAATTGACAATATGATTCTATGGAATTACAAAGGGCTGAGTGTATCAAACAATCATGGGAAAAGAACAAAGGAAACTCACAATTGCAAAACTTACCAAAAAGCGGCAGTAAAGTACACTCACAACTTTCAAGGGGGATTGGTGCCAGGACATGTGGCCCCATACCAAAATCCGTGGATGCTCAAGTCCCTCATATAAAATGGCACAGAAGTTTCATATAGCCTATACACATCCTTTTGCAAATTTTCAATCATCTCTACATTACTCATAATACCTTCTAAATGTAAATGCTATGTAAATAATCATTATAATGAGTTGCTTAGAGAATAATGATAACTTGAAAATGTCTGACATGTTCAGTATAGATGTAATTTTTTTCTCTCTGAATATTATCATTAATTGTTGGTTGAATCCTTGGATGTAGAACCTGTGGGTATGCAGGGCAAACTATACTGACACAAAAATCATGAAATAGAACTCAACGTTGCGAAACAAAACCAAATACCTACAATTAACAGATTTTCAACAAAGGTGCAAAAACCATTCAATGGAGAAAGACCAGTCTTTTCAAAAAATGGAAGCGGGACAATGGCTATCCACATGAAAAAGAATGAATCTCCTACCTCTGATCATATACAAAAATCTACATAAAAGGGATCAAAGACTTAAACATAACAACACAAACTAACATTTTAAGAACAAAACACAGTGATAAACCTTCATAAACCTAGTTTTGAAAATAGACTGATGACATAAAAAACACAAGTAACACAAAGAAAAATGAATAAACTGGGTTTCATAAAAATAAAAAAAGTTATGCATCAAAGGATATTACCCAGAAAGTTAGAAGACCACCCACATAATGGGAGATACAATTTCATACCCACTAGGTTAGCTATAATTTTTTATAAAGGGAAATAAGTGTTGGTCAGAATGTGGAAGAATTACAAACCTCACACATTACTGGTGTAAAATGTGGCAGTCACTTTGGAAAACAGTCTGGCAAATAACCTAAGCTCTCAATCAGGCTGAAATCAAGGTAGCAATGTTACTCCTGCAAAGCCCTTTTACAATTCATGTCTCCTACCACTTCTAGTTTTGGGCAACTACAGATCTGCTTTTCCATATTTTTTCTTATTTGAATTTTATAGAAATTAGTATTAATCATTTTGCTCTTCATCAAACAAGGATAATAATATGTATTTGACAGAGTGAGGTAAGAAACCCAGATAATATGTATAAAGGCTCCAGCACGGTGCCTGGCACAAAACAGGCACTATTATTACTGTAATAATTCCTTCTAGAAGAATTAAAAGTTTCTAAGACACTGCTGATCCTTTAGTTTCTAATGTATATGCATTTCAGATATTTATTCAAAACAGGTTCTGAAAAGGAGAGAATTGTAGGGCATTAAGTATCTCTGAAGAAAAGACAAACAGTACATAAAGGGTCAACTGATGTTTAGGGGAAATTATTCTAGTTGAATTCTAGTTGAATACAAATACAAAGAAATTATATGTAGGCTATAATGTTTTACTTGAGTGGTGGTTGCCACTTTGTTCTTGTATTTATCATAGCTCACATTTAGCAGTCACATATGAGCTCCTGCTTACCAGTCTGGATAGGATTCACCACTTGCTCAGGCTGGAAGCAAAAGTTTGTATTTTCTGGCCAGTTCTGGCTGTTCTGATATTCCTGGTAGGCCATTTTCTCTTCGAGGAATTCAGTTGGAGACCCTTAACATACAGACACAAAGCAAATTACTAGAGAAGAGTTTCTGTAAATTACTATAGGAAGTACAATACGACACAATCACATTTGGCTAACGGCTTTGAGAAAATATTTTTAAATTTAAAAATAGAAAGAAAGCCAGGCATGGTGACACACACCTGTAATCACAGCTACTCAGAAGGTTCAGGCAGGAGGATCCCAAGTCCCCTTTCTCAAAATAAAAAATTAAAGGGTTGGGGATGTAGCTCAGTGAACAGCCCTGGGTTCAATCCCTAACACAGCCAAAATAAATAAATTAATTGAGTAAGTAAGTATTGGAAGCCTAAGATTGTTTTCTGTGGGAAGGAGGAGTGTTTTTGGGGATTGAACTCAGGGTCACTTAACCACTGAGCCACCTCCCCAGCCCTTTTTTGTATTTTATTTAGAGACAGGGTCTCACTGAGTTGCTTAACACCTTGCTTTTGCTGAGGCTGGCTTTGAACTCGAGATCCTCCTGGCTCAGCCTCTCAAACCACTGGGACTACAGGCATGAGCCACAATGCCTGGCTTACAAGTGTCTTTTTTAAAGATGGAAACTGATCATCATACTCCATCGATAAACATTTACAATGAATTTAGAGACATTCTTAATAAATAACCAAAGTACAAAATAAGTATGCCTTTTCTTAAGATACAACTTAAGATCAGGGAGAAAAGAAAAATGAAGGAATATATTTCTGATATATTGTCTATCAACTGAAATGGCTAAGGAGACTTAAAGATCATGCAGTGTGGTCCTGCATATTTATGTCTAAGAACCTCCAGAAGGTTTAAATGCATCATCTCCATTCCATCAAAGTCCCCCTTTACCCACTGCCTCCTTTTGTTCTCTCTTCAAGTGTTATGTCTTTTTTTGTCCCTCCTTCAGCAGCAAGAGAGCAAACTTCAAATAGCATTTCAATCTAAGTTCCACAGGTTAACTGTGTGCTTTAATTTTCTATAATACTAATGTAATTACTATTTCAGCAAACATATAGGGCCAATTTTTTATAGGTCACATTTATTTTTAGAAAATGCAAAGAAGAAATCTCAAGGCTGACTGAAACAACAGAGTCAGGCACTGGGTAAAATTCTTAGGAGAAACAAGAATGAATCCACCGGTGATTAGGCAGCTCTAAGTTAACGGGCCCAAGAAATGTAAAACAATTCTTAAAAATGTGGATTAGGGCTTTGCATCCAAGTTTTCCTTAAATTTACATCCTTTTAATACTTTTTTACAAATACAATATCTTTACTTTGTTTATTCTTATGTGGTGCTGAGAACTGAACCCAGTGCCTCACACGTGCTAGGCAAGTGCTCTACCACTGAGCCACAACCTCAGACCCCTTTAATACTTAGTCTCTTTTCATATCTGTTGTTTTCTAATGAAGAACAAAATTGGGATTGTTCATGGGAAATTAAAAAAAATTTTTTAATAGAAAAATAAGAAATATCAATAATAATTACCTAATTTTATTCTAAATGGTTGGCAGGCTGCTTCTTTATGAACAATATTTATGCTGCTCATAGTTTATATGCTACTAACAAAGAAGAAATTAGTGACGACTTCTATTTCATACTCCCGCTACTTTCCTTATCTGCTTTAGAACACTGGAGTAGAAAGGACCCAAAGGAGTAAACCCATACCACATTTGCCCCAATAATTCATTTATGTATTTAAATATTTTGAATCAGGCACTGGTGAAAAAGCAGCAAAAATGAAGAAAAACCCTGCTGTCATGGAGTTCAGATCACCACCATCACCACCATCATTATATTGTGCTTATACACTATGGAAGAACTGGTATTTGTGTAGTTGAGGGTTTCAGACATGCCTGATGATGCAAGTCTCTGTAAGCCTCAGTTTTCATATCTAATACCTGCTTTACCTACTTCATAAAGGTTGAAAGGGGATATGTTAAAGTACTCAGAAAATTGTGACAAACATGGTAAAATTATTGCTAATCCTACCATTAGTATGGATTATAGGGGATAAGCATCTACAATAGCAGGTACTAAGTGCTGCTACTGGGGTTTAAAGAATGGTCACATGATATGGTCATGGAATGATCTAGAAATACTTCCTGTAGATCAGAACATAGCTGAACCTGAAAAGACAATTAGAAGGCTATGTACATTGAGCTGAGAGTCTGTGGAAGACACACAGTAGGAAAGACATTGAGCATAGCAAATTATCTGTTTTTAAGGCCATGGGCATAAAAGGGAAAATAAGGAACATACCATTTTGGCTGGAACACACAATAGTTCTTCATAAAGGGCAGCTAGAGGATGACTAGTGCTTCACAGGCCAAACAGAGTGGAACCCAAGGTTTGTCTATCTGCATTCCCTAAAAGAGAACCAGCCCATCTCTCTCCAGGTGGTCTTAGTGTTGTGGATCATGGTATTTTGCATCCTTATCCAAAAGAATGTACTTGTGATACAAGCAGGCCCAAAGTCCTTTGCAGAAATTTGAACCATAAAGATATATTTGGGCTGCCAGTGGCTATCTTTCCCACTGTTTTTTCTTTTTTCTTTTTTGACGGGGGAGGGGGCAGTAACTGGGGATTGACCCCAGGGTACTTTACCAGTGGGCTTCATCCCCAACTCTTTTTGTTTTTTTATTTTGTCATGGGATCTTGCTAAGTTGCTTAGAGCATCACTAAGTTGCTGACACTGGTCTCAAACTTGTAATTCTCTGGAATCATTGGGATTTCAGGCATATGGGTGTACTGCTATACCCAACAGAACCACAGTTTTTAATGAGAAAAGTGAGTATATTTTCCTCAGACCTTCTGGAGAAGGAACATGCAGGTCTGGTATTCAGATGTCAAAGTAAGTCTGCAGATTTCTACTTTCCAGAGTGGTGCTGTAGCTTAGTGGCTCTCTCTAAGGGGCCACATTCAAAATAGCCAGCCTCCAGCTATCAGTACCATTAATGAACAGGTTTGACAGAGGCTCATTCCCATATCTTCATTCAACGATGATGACCTAGATTTCATTCTTAAAATTTCATTCTTAGCAAAGGCAGGCAAAGTAGTTTATGATAACGATAGCCTTCAGAATAAATATGGGGTTTTTTTTTTGAATACCACAATTGTACTCTGCTCAGAGTCTATTTCAAGGAAAGAATAAAAAATGTAATTCTAAACAAGAAGCAATTTACACAATACAATGGAAACAACCCTTACTTTCACCATCAGTCATCCTTAGATACATTGGTTTTCCTATGAAAGCAGAAGTGAGTGGGGTGGGGTGGCGCATGACTGTAATACCAGCTACTCAGGAGGCTGAGAAAGGAGGATCAAAAGTTTGAGACCAGTCCTGGGAATTCAGAGAGATCTTTTTTTCTCAAAATGGAAAACGAAAAAAGCGGGGCTGGGGATATAGTCAGTTGGTAGAGTGGCTTACCTTGCATACACAAGGCCCTGGGCTCAATCCCCAGCATGCATGAATGAATGAATGAATCAATGAATGAATAAATAGGGGCTGGGGATGCAGCTCAGTGGTATACTGCCCATGTTCAATCATCATTACCATAAAAATGAACAAATGAATGAATGAATGAGTGAATGAAAGTAACTTTGGAGTTGACATGGGCTAACTCCTATTTCCATTAAATTGAAGGCATTTACAGAAAGGCAAATGGCTAAAAGTTTGAAATACTCATTAATCAAATAACATATCTATGAATCAAAGCCAGGACTAATTCCATAAGAAAACATTGGTTATCAAGTGCAATACAGACCAATGGATTTTAAAATAACATACTACAAAAAGTACACTGAGGCTTGATGCAGTGGCCCACATTTATAATCCCAGCAACTCAGGAAGCTAAGGTAAGTGGATCACAAGAGCAATGCCAGCCTCAGCAATTTAGCAAGATCCTAAGCAAAATTCAGTGAGGACCTGTCTCAAAATTAAAAAGGGTTGGGGATGTAGCCTACTGGTAAAGTGTCCCTGGATTCAATCCCCAGTACATTCTCTCCTTTCATAGATCAAAAAAAAGTTCACTGATAGGGTTTCAAATTCTACATTGCAAATAACCTGTAATAAAACTAGCACCTGTCCAGTTTTATTGTCACATCAGAGAATATCCATAATTACCTTTAAAAAAATACCAAAACATTTCTCCTCCTAAACTGCATGTATCAGTCAATCCAAACAACATATTGTAACACAACTGCAGAAGCAATTTTCAAATATGAGAATCCAGCAGTGATCTACTAAATTACACACTAAAGAGTTTTAGAAAAATGTAAAACACTACTACTCTTATTACTATTCTCTCTGGTGGTGGTACTGGGATTGAACCCAGAGGAGAGCTCTACCATTAAGCTATATCCCCAGCACCTTTTATACTTGTGATCTGCTTCAGTCTCCTGAGTTGCTGGATTTACAGGCATGGGGGGAGGAGGGGGAGAAGAAAGAAGAAGGAGGAAGAAGGAGGAGGAAGAAGAGGGGGGAGGAGGGGGAGAGGAGGGGGGGAGGAGAAAGAAAACTTAAATTGAGGCAGAAGATTAAGTTCTAGTACTAGCTCTTTGGAGAGACCTTAGTTAATCTGTTTAATCCCTCTGAACACGTAAGGGATACCTTAAATTATTACTGCAGAGATAAGACAAAAGTGACAAGGAAAACTGATATACATCTGTATCTATGTTACAGAACAAAAAATAAATCAATTGTGTTATCAACTAGTGATTTTAGAAAAGCAAAAGTTCTTCCTATATTCTTTCAAGTTTTCTGCAAATTTGAAATTATTTCAAATTAAAATAAAAATACTTCTATTTTCTAAAAATATAAAAAAGTGACAGGAGGAAGATAACTCCTGGTTTAGGGCTGTAGCTCAGTGGTAAAGCACTTGCCTTGCATGTGTGAGGCACTGGGTTCGATCCTCAGCACCACATAAAAATAAATAAATAAAATAAAGGTATTGTATACATGTACTATAACAACAACAAAGAAAGCTAATTCCTTTCTAATCCTCA